TCCCCCGATTATATATATACCACCTATGATCGATATATATATCACGACCGTGCATCATTGTCGATGATCACGTCCACCGGTCTGTATTAGATGATACAATTGCACATTTAGCAACTTATCGACGCTAAGCAATCAGTGACATTTACGATTAAGTTTAGGCCATCTCCAGAGTTGCCTGCCGCTATTAAGCCTGCCGCTATATCGCTGACGTTGCTGCTCCGTGCGCCGCCGTCGCAGCTAAATCTTGCTTAGAAGCTCAAATATTAGCAGCTAAATGAGCCGAGATTAGCAGCTAAATGGTGCATGGTGTTTTTTTAAAGTAGAGCCTGAGGTCTTGTCGATAATCCTTGATAGTCTAGCGTTGACCCTGGAGTCCGCTTTCACGTCGCTTTTGCCCTGCTGAGGAGGGGATCGCAAAACTCAACATGCCATGAAACCTGAAAAATTACATTACAGTTCGCATTGGTACATGCGGAAAAATTAGATCCTCATTCGAGAGTCGATGATCTTGCTGGAAGTTGAGTTGAGTTTTGCGAGAACAGTCCTTCGTTGCTCGCTCCTGAATATTTGCGATTATCGAACTGTAGCGATTATTATATTCCGTAGGATTGTGCATGTTATTATAATGAATACGATTGTTATACGATTGTCGGAGAAGATCCCAATGTGTTTGCATGCAGAGATACTTGTATTCGAGTCTCCCGATTTCGTTTCTTTCGTTTACGAAAGCTCGTACCACCTTCTGCACGTATGATGGATATTTTAATTTTGATAGTGGTCGATATAATACCTACAATCTCTTCATATACATATATAGCGCGACTCGCTGTTTGTCAGAGATTATTATGTAAAAAAGGCTACTCAAGAGAATGAAATCGCGTGCGCACGAAATCGAGGACGATAACAATTTTTAATTTTCTATTAACGTTAACGAGAGACAAACATTTCTGCGCACGCGAGAAATAATGTTCACATTTTTCATTTTAGTCGTTCGCTTTGTGTGCGAATAGATGATATTTTTCATGTAAAATTGCACACAAGATATAAGCCTCTTTGGAATGAAACGTCTGTGCGTTTATCGGAGAAACGGAAGAAACATTATCTTCTTCCGCAATAATCCCAGATAGACAGAGACATGCTGAACATAGTATGCAAACATTTAGTATAAATTTATTAATGTATATTGTTTTAAGAAATATCATTTCATTAATGATATTGTTTGGAAATTACAATTGTAATTGTTTGACATTGTTAATGATGTAACTTGTCTGTTTGGAATTGAAATGTTTACTTCTAATTATTGCTATAATCTTGGATTAATTGTGTTTTTGTGCAGCAATAAGCAGCGATTTTCATGGCATTAGATGCCGTCTCTTTTGCATATTGACAAAATTCTTATTGTATGACAATTCTTGTTACACATATCTTTGCGTACTTGTGCTACAATTTTCGATTCTCAGTTCAGTCATTTAGATGATATGCCAAAATATGTCTATCTGGGATGTTTCTGCTTATATGAGCATCGCTTCGCACTTAACGCAAATCATATTTAACTATCGTGTCTCGTAAGCGATGTATAATTTTAGCGATAACGATCATTACAATTGAAGATATTACGGTCAATTTAATGACGACTTTCCGCATCTCGTATATATTACACGCGTCACCGTACCTGACAAGCGGGACAGTAGATAAAGAGTAATGTTCTTGCAATTTTTCTGAGTGATATTTCTAATGTCTATCTAATGATTTCAACGCCTACTTTCCTATACAAATTTTTGTATGGTGACGCGTATTAATTGAAACATGCAGTATGATAGTAGAAATACAAATCTGTACACAAAGCCCGTCGAGCGCGTCAGAATTTTTTGCGGAGTGTCAAAGTTAAATCACTTGAGGAATTGTCAACTGGGAGAAAATTCGTAGACTCCACGTAACTCTCGTAAATGTGTGAAAATTCTCACGAGTCTGCCTAAAGAATTGTATTGATCCTTGAAGCGAAAAAGGAATGATACAAAGAGAGTCGGATAATGATTAAACATGCGAGTAATCAGCGCTCGAAGGGTGGAAGCAAACGCTTATCGTCGGACGAGCATCACGATCCATTTCTCACGCCTTAAAAAGAGCTGTTTCGCACACACACGGTCGATATTGTTGTCGGCGCATAAGACAAGCCATAGAATCGTCACACAAGTGTGCATGATCGAGTAGATTCGGATGTACGCGCGATGCGCAGACCACTAACGCAATACAATTGTGTTATTTGCAGTTTTTTGTAAGACTCGATCATATCCGCAAGTGCTTTACTCAAAAGGATGGAATCTTTGTTTTGGAAGAATTCAGTAAGTGAGACATATATCGAATACCGCATCGACTAATATACGCTTTCACGCCCGTAGACATGTCTTGTGGAAAGTAGATCCACGTTACTGAGACGCTTACGCTGCAATTTACGCCATCCCGAGCGCTCGGACGATAGGACTTTACCGTATGTCTTTTTCTGTTTCAGATCCTAAAACTAGACAAGTAATTCAACGTAAATATAAGTCACAAATGGTAAGTGTCATTTTGTCTTATTCGATCATTTAATACGTTCGATCGTTCCAGCAAAAATATTGTAAAACATTATAATATGATATAGAAAGTGTTTGATCCTAAAAAAGAAGATATTGTAAAATATCTGCTCTATTTAAGATAAAACAGACAATGTAATTTTCTTTTTTCGGTTTGAGCAACAGAAAGTCAATATTATATTTATATTATATTTATTATATTTATCTTTATATATTATTATATATATTTTTATATTATATATACATATATATATATTTTTTTATTTTATTATATATATCTATATTATTTTATATATTATATATAATATATTTTATATATATTTAATATATATTATATTATATTATATTATATTTAATATATATTATTATATTTATTTATTTTGTTACCTCAGTTATCGGTCACGTATGTAGCTGTGTGTTGTGTAACAGGCTGAAGAGGCAGTTCGCAGCATGCATAGAATATTTTCAGTCGCATTCACCCTTCATAAAATCCCGTCGGAGAGTCATCGTGAATATAAACGCGAGACCAACGTCGTATGAAGTTTATCTCTCTGAGTTTCTTTCGTTTCTTGCATCTCACGTAAGTTCTGTTTCAATTCCGTTGCATACATTTATTTCATTTTTCCATAAGCTTTCCCACATATAAGTCATCTCTCGCACAGACAATCTCTGAAAGATTAATTTCGACTTAATCAATTAATCGCGGACGATTAAGAGCGTTTACACAGTGGCATAAAAAAGTTGCTTCATTCGCAGGCGTCTGAGATCTGCTACGCTGTTCTCTGCGTATTTTCTTATGTGGCGGCTGGATCGGAGCAACGAAAACAACATGGCCAGCAACCGCCGCAACAACAGCAACACGGTGCACTACAACATAGTACATTACAACCACATCAACAACGTCAGCAGCAGCAGCAACACCAACAGCAGCAGCATCAGCCGCAACAGCAACACCAGCACCACCAGCAACAGCAACAGCAACACCAGCACCACCAGCAACAGCACCACCAGCAACAGCACCACCAGCAACAGCAACACCAGCAGTCTCGATACCACTATCAACAACACAGACAGGAACAACCGCAATCGAGTAACGTAACGCCGCAGATGCAAGCACATAGAAACACGCAACTGGATCCCTATCCTCGTCAACACTGACACAAACAAAGACACTCGCTTCCGTTCGTGGGCATCCACAATAAGAATAGCTGTGCCCCTTACGCTTGTCTACCTTGGGTATAAGTGTACGATTTCTCTTTATCTTCCTCTCTCTATCTATCTCTTTTTTCTCTCTAAATATTTATTTAAAAATTCATCCCACGTCGGGGATACATGTATATGGGCAAAGTAATGGCGACAAGTACCCTTCATTTTCGCAGAAGCATTTCTTTCCGAATAAACGCGCCGCATCAACGTTACTTCTAATTGGAATTCAAAAAAGGCCGTCAAAAGTCGTAATAACTGAGAGCAACGTCTGCCCTTAGCTTAGACGATTATTGCGTTAGCATCGGGCTGACGGCGCGGACACATTTCCTTTCGGACTTTTTACTCGGAGTGATGTAGTCTCGCGTTAATGTGATAGGTAATCGTATTCTTCTATTCGTACTTACACGTAGATATACGTGTACGTGTGTCACCCAAAGCAATTAAATACAATAAATATTCGTATAATTGGAGATACAATTTTATATGATACGCGCCGCGTACAGAGAGATCGTAACTGTGATTGTTCGCGATGTGGAAGAGCAAAGATTTATTTTACCTCGAGTGTGTAGTAGAAGTAGGTAGCGAGTCGAGTCGGTATCGTTGGTAAACGCCGAATTACCAAATCTTCGCTGGTTCTTCTTAGTTGTCGCTGTCGGAATTACGTCTGTCGTGTTCTTATAGACATTCGGACCTTGCGCGATGAAAGTGCAAATTACGTAGGCGACGAGACAGGTGTCTTGGTCTTCGTTCGCTATCTTCCTCTCCTTTGCGTCTGCAGTGAAAATTTAACCGATGACTTTATATCTCATTTCATTTCGGTCGCATACGCGAAGTGTTAGCGAAACTGTCGTGTGTAGAATGTATAGAAACACGTACTGTCGTTTATCGTATGTTCCACGAGCAAACACGTGGTGGTTATTATTTTGTACGGCCGCGAATTAGATGAAAGAACAAACTCTCTCCGATAGCGTAGAGCATGTTAGGGTACATGTGATGTCCCAAAAATGATTAGGCATTATATGCGATATAATGTAATAACTGTACAATATCCTCGAAACCAAACTAAAAAAAGACAACGTCTTTGGGAATGCTGTAAATTTACATCCTGCGTTTTTCCTACGACTTGTACGTACTTAGTTAAGCACGACATCGGAAAGTTATAATAGCTAGATCACGGTAGTGTCCAGACCGCGATAGTCTGAGTCTCGTCGGCACTAAGTGCAAAAAGAAAAAAAACGAAGAAGAAATACTCGTTGCGTTTTCTTTGCCGTCTATTACTCGACATTTCTTACGTTGATACGCGTTAATGTAAAAAAAAAAAAAAAAAAAAAGACAAACGACCAGCCTAGAAACGACGTGTATACATTAGTCGCGAACTCCTGTGAAGGAAACGTAGCATACGTTACATACACATACACAAATGTCAGAGGAAATATATTTTCTTGCAACGTAAGAGGCGTATAGATATTTGTAAAAAGGAATAACGATTTGTAAATAAGAATCAGCGATGTAATAAGCAGTACGAGCACACAGATATACGCTCTCCCCTTTTTGGTTTCTCGTTTTTTAATACAGATATACATATTCGTAGCGCTCGTTCGCCGGTTGAACTAGAGAGGAGTGCATTTCTAAGAGAGTTCAGAGGGTATGTTCTCTTCTAAACATCTATAAAAGAGCAAGCAGCACGATCCCGACGTACCAAAATCTGTCTGCCTAAATCCTGATGTCTAGAAGCTCTCGTCGATGCCACGTTTAGAGGATAATATGTCAATCGATCATTGTCATTTCGAAGTGTATCATGGTTATACGATAAAAGAGAAATCCTAGACCTCTTAGAAGAGAAATTAATACCTCGCATTGTATAGTAACCATCCATGTAGACGCCTTATGCCCAATATATACTTGTAGCCAAGCCGACGGTGAACGACATTTATTCACCTTCACCCAGTTGCGCGAAATCCAAAGCGACTCAAATTTTTGGCATAATTATTAATTATCAGGATTGGGTAATAACTAGTTAATTAGTTGAAAGTTACGTTAAAAAGTTGATAACTTTTAACTTAGTTTTAACTGTTAACTTAGTTTTAATTTAGTTAATTTTTAATGAGTCTCAATATTTAACTTAAACTAGTTATTTTAAAATATATTAATTTTGATTTATTAACTTTTTTTTATATAAGTTAAAATAATCCATCAATATTTAAATTATTGCGAGCTAACACAATGTAGATTAAAAAAAATAAAAAAATGATTAATAGAAGAATCTTTTTGTTTCTCCAAGCATCAATATTTTTCTCTTATATGTCCTGAGCATAAAATAATCGATTTTTTTTTTTATAAAAGACTACTTTTTCTTTTATTAATAATTCATAAATTTAATCTTTAATTAAAGAATTAATTCTGCAAAACCATACATTGCTTTATATAATTAACTTTTGACTTTAATAATTTATTTAATGTTAACTTTGATTTAATTTTTGTTTATATGACTTTTATCGTAAACTAAGTTAATTTAAGGGCCATTAACTTTAAACATTACTTAAAAAATTAACTTATCCAATCTTACTAATTACCTAAACGGTAATATGTTTGAAGATTCGATTCAATTGCGATTTAGTGACGCAACATTTAATAAATAATAATGGACATAAATGTGCGCAGACACATGTGGTTCTGTAATTACGCCGACATTAGTCGTTCGTTAAATCCAATTGAAGAGTGCACTTCAGTCTTGAGATGTACTTAAAGAGGACGGTAAGCGGCATTTGCCTCTCATGTTGAGAATGCAAATAAGATAATTGGATAATTGGACTTGAGGAGAAATTTGGTACTCAATAAGAGGAGTGTCTATTAATTTAAACCGTTTTAGCTTATACTCAAAATGAGAAAATATTCTCGCGCAACTACAATTGTGTAAAACTGATGAAATTAAAGAAATTGTGTTTCTTTAATGGAGAGTGACATGAAACGACATTTGCGACAGAATTGAACGAACAATGCTCAGTGGGAGATGGATCTTATCAAATCCTCTTTCTCTTTACTGCCAAAGTAATGATATTTTCTCGATTAGCGAGATTGCGATTCTCAATCTAATAGACAAGTATAATCATATTTGATCGAGGCCAGACGGTGGTCGGTTGCAGCAACTATCGGGTTACATACCTGCTTGGACAACTATCATTTTTCATGTATTGATGTCCGGAATGGTGAGAGCGTGATTCTATTACAACGAAGACTAGGACGTCTGCAGTCGCGTTGCAAACGTCGCACGAGGATGGAGCGCTGGGCCGGAAAGATCGCCGTGGTCACAGGAGCCAGCGCCGGAATCGGCGCAGCGATTGCACAAAGTCTCGTCCGTGAAGGTGAGTGAATGCTGAAATTACGGTTAAGTGTTGCGTTAACATCCTCACTTCACTTCGGAAGGATGGTCGAGCCTATAAGAATTTATTGTCCACAACCTTGCTTTAATTTTTAAACCGTAATAAATTAACCAACCACAGTCGATTATTTTAAAAATAATCAATTGTGGTTGGTCAATTTCTTACGGTGTAAGAATTAAAGCAAGGTTGTGAACAAGGGATATCTCGACTCAAAAGCAAACGCACGAGCGTGAGATAACTGACCGTATCGTCTGCTAATTGAGAAGTGAAATAATCAGTACTGTTTTCGAAAACAGAACTATAACGTTATCCACAATGGTTACGAGATTGAAAGACACGTCATTACTGAGTCGTATTATTAAAATAAAGTTAATCTATTTCGACAGTTAACTCTACTTAAAATGATGGTTACAAAACGACAAGATTACATTTTGTTTCAATGTAATGAATTCCAATGTAAATCAATCATGAAGTTTCGTAGGTTTCGTAAGTTTTGTCTACAATATGCTAACCTTGAGAAGTAAGAGTAAGAAATAAAAATAATTTATTTCGCTTACGCCTAGTTCCCTTCCGCTGAAAGTCTTTCCGTCAAATAAATACTTCCAGTGTAAGGGAGTTAGAGTTTAGACAGATATATAAGTAAAGTAAATTTAATTCCTTACTCCTCCTTTTATTTTTCATATGCTAAACTTACACTACGTATGGCTAATTGATTCACATTAAGGCCAAGTTCCACAACATCCGTTTAATTTTAACTACCGGTTAAGTCCCAATAGTGATTGGTTAATTCTGATTAACTCTTCTTAATGTCAAATGCGATTGGTCAAGTCCAATTGAATAACCAGTCAGTTAAGTTAACTGGAGGTTGTGGAGCTGGGCCTAAGAGATCTAAATTGAAATTCAGATTAACTCTTATCTATTAATATTATCATTTGGTCCATCGTTGTAAACAGGGAATCCATTTACACGCATGTGACTTTGCTTTATATTTCACCAGGTATGATAGTGGCGGGTTTTGCGAGGAGAGTGGAGAACATCAAACAAATCGCCGACAGCTTGGAGGATTTCTCGGGAAAGCTTTATCCCATTGAATGCGATGTCACCAAAGAGGAGAGCGTGGTCACGGCTTTCGCATGGGTGAAAGATAATGTGGGGCCGATAAATGTTCTTGTGAACAGCGCCGGCATCACCAAGGAGTCCTCGCTCGTAGGTGAGAATTTATTTCATTAGATCATAGATGGATATATATATAAATATCATTTTAGTCCGTTAAGGAAATAAAAAATTTTGTTAAATAAATTAACTCCCTCACAGATGGTACCTTGGAGGAATGGCGGTCTGTGTTCGACGTGAATGTTCTGGGACTCTGTTTGTGCACGCGTGAGGCTGTGCGCATGATGCGAGAGACGAGCGAGGACTCGCTCGTGATTCACGTGAACAGTCTGGCTGGAGAGAGAATACCCTTCGTGCCAGGTTTCAGCGCGTATCCGGCATCGAAGCGTGCCGTTACCGGCCTCGCGCAATCCTTGCGGCACGAGCTGGCGGGCACGCGTATACGCGTCACGGTGAGACGTCTGAAAGAAGACAGACGAATTAAATAACTTGAAATAATACACAGAATGGGTCAATAAAATGTATTAATACTCTATATTAATACTGACTAAATTTCCCAGCCTTAAATCCGGCACACTTCATAAATGTGTGAGGAAGGAAGTGGGGAAAGATGGGAATAACTATAAAAATATATATGATGTGATATAAAATTATATATAATGTGTGTATATGTATATATGTATATATATATATATATATATATATATATATATATATATATATATATATATATATATATATATATAACATATATTTTTTTTTCTTTATAAATATATAAAAAATAATTGAATAACAATGAAGGCCTTCTGGATATAGTAAAAATAGGAACTATTGCTGAGATAAACTGTTATCTTTATTTAAAATTAAGAAGGACTAGCAGAACTACTATATTTATCAGAACTGTAAATTTTTTTTAGGAAATCTTTCTTCGTCAAAAATATTTTAAAAATCCCCTGAACCAGGACAAACTAAGACAGTTTGGTCAAATCCGGAATAAATCTTGAAAAAAAACGAGATGTTTTAATTATACGGAAAAACGAGTCACCTTAATACTCTCTTAATATATCCATCATATTAATATCTATACTTAATATATATTAAATATGATACCACGCTCCTCGTGAGATAAACGTAAATTATGACTGAATCATTCTCGACGGATACATATAGATCTCACGCTGAATAACCCTGACAAAAAAAATTGATAGAGAATGATAAAATAAAATTCTATCGTTCTCTATCAACTTTTTTTTACCTGGAAAGACAAATACAGTGGTTATCAATTTTTATTTATGTTATCAATTTTTATTTATATTATTAATTTTTTACTTACACGTTGATCATTATGCAGAGTATCAGCCCCGGCTTGGTCGCGACGGAGTTCATGGCCTCCTATAGCATGTTCTCCGAGGAAGCGATGATGGCGATGCCGACATTGAATCCAGATGATGTCGCGGCAGCAGCGATTTATGTGCTGTCTAATCCTCCACACGTTCTAGTGCGTTTATGTCGTTTATATCTTGAACGTTGCTTCTCATTACATAGAATTGAGAACATCTCCTTTCGCAGGTGCAGGACGTTGTGCTGAGACCTTTGGGTGAATCCTGGTAGTCGAGATATGAGCTAATCGATTTTCAAGCCGATTATAGAAGAAATGCTGAATATAACAATTGTGCTTCTTATAAGGAAAGCGACAATAAAACTAGATTCTCACTGACTGTTCCTTGATCTTTCCTTATTTCTTATAAGAAATAATTGAAAATATTTTAATTAATCTAATACTTTTTTAGCCATGTTATAATACATGCTATTCAGTCTCTTCAGATTTTTGCTGTCTATTCCTTCGATGATTAATGTGAGAGAAACTTAAAGATTCAGTATTAAAATTAAAAATAGCTCTTTGCTGTCATATCGACAAAATGTTGTCACTTTGCTGCATGGCATGTAGAAATTATAAAATTAACTCACAAATAAAGAAAAGTTTTTATATGTACAAGACTGTTCAAGAGTTGACATAAAGAAGTTTGCATGTTGAATGACAAAATGCTGTTAAACGAATGCCTATCCTCGACGTTGGTGATCAATTTCCAACGTCGCAAGGAATCATCCCGTAATCTTCAACCGTAGAAAATGATTTAACTGACTATCAAGAGGATCGTTGGAGCAGCCAAAACTCGGTTGTCCAAAAAAATCAGTTAGTATCATTGAGAGAACAAATATTCTCGATAAGAACGGAATCGACACGCTATGACTGGTTTTGCATTGCACAGAAGCATTCTCCAAGACTTACGGACACTTGTGAATCTCCAAGTCGTCCGCGCAACCAGTGGTGTACGCTGAACTTTGCTCGCAGACACGTCCAAGGAACGAGTTGTTGACTGATTTGCGTCTGCGAGGGATCTACTGTATGTTCTGGAAATCCTGACGCAATACCCTTAACGAAGCTATTGCTAAACATGTTATCATGCTTGTCGCGCTCGCGTTCTACGGAAAACTCCATTTGGATTTTCGAGTTAGATATTCATATCTCCCGTTGTTTTTGCACGTGCGATATCATCTTAGAGCTATCGAATAATTAAGTTTGGCGTGTATCTTTACGATGTTAACGCTAATCTTTATAGCGTGTAATTAAATTGCATGTCAAAGGCTGAGTATGTGTCACTGCATATGTCATGATAATATTATTTAATATGAAACCCAAACTAATTAATGTTAGATCAGTCAAAAAGTTCGTTTTGATTTTGGAGTGAAATTTAATTCTGTTGTACATTCTATGAAAACAAATTACTCATTAAATGATTTTCTTCCCGACTTTCTGACAACATTATCAGTACTATTTTCTATATTTATTTAAAATTGTTTATTAAAGATTGAATTGAATTGTAATTGTTGTAAAATTCGTGAATCTGATTGATATATTAATTTCGGCTAAATTAAGTGCCAATCAGAAATGAATCACTTATAAATTTTACAAATTTCGTACAAAACTTCACTGAAACTTCGCGCCAATGGTCAAGTGTTACATAACGATTGTGAAGTTTGAAAACTTCAACTGTGCAGTGCTAATTTGAAGAAAGAGCAACGATAAAGATACGAGACACATCATGAGTGAAATTCTGTCTATTGCATTGCATAAATTATACTTCGGCAGACGATTATCTCACGTTTAATTAATAATGTTTCATTTTCGTGATAACAAATGCACAAAGGACCGCTTCGGTAGATGATACGCATTATCTGCGAGTATGACGAGCAGGCCAGACTTGAATTGAGTATCGTCTTCTCCAGCGATTGGATTTTGCGCCAAAAACAGCCAGTAATATCGTGCCGATACAAGTAATATGCAACACGCGCGCGGGAATGCATCATTCAAAACAATGGAAAACAATGGATTATCTAGACGACCGGAGATTACACGCGACCCCCTAATCGAGGGCCACATTTTCAACGTGGTATAAAAAGGTGTCGAGGATTCTTCGGCCATGCAGAAGCTCCTTGTGGCGACAAGCGTCTACTTTCTCTCGCTCCTCGTGACACTATCAGAAACGTAGAGCAACATGGATCGTCTGCTCAACAAAATCGTCCTCGTCACCGGCGCCAGCGTTGGCATCGGCAGAGCAATCGTGGAGGAGTTGGTCACGAAGGGAGTTAAGGTCATCGGCATCAGTCGTGAATTGGACAAGCTGAACGTATGTCTCGCACTGTTAATGATTTATCGATATTAACTGTTAATTCATAGAAAGTTGCAATTTACAAGAGAAAGTTCGGCGACTCGCAAATTCTGAAACTTTACAGAAAGAAAATATCTGACGTAGCTACTTTAGTCCATATATTCTCAATTCTCTTTTATCAATAAATGTCTCTAAAAATGGTAAATTTATCGAAAAATGTTAAGAATATGGGTTTCTTGTTTATATCGAAAAACAGCTCTAGAGATGTTCGTTTTGATTTTGGAGTGAAATTTAATTCTGTTGTACATTCTATGAAAACAAATTACTCATTAAATGATTTTCTTCCCGACTTTCTGACAACATTATCAGTACTATTTTTTATATTATATTTATTTAAAATTGTTTATTGAAGATTGAATTGAATTGTAATTGTTGTAAAATTCGTGAATCTGATTGATATATTAATTTCGTTGAGAAAAACAGCTCTAGAGATGAAAATACCTATTTAATCCTGCGAATATTTTCATGGAGTATTTTAGAAATGTTAACAAAAATATGAAAAATTATATTTTCTTGAAGAGGTGTCTTTGTTTCTCTAGAACTTTCAGTTAAAAACGAAAATAGCTACATTAATTAGCTTCACGCATACTTTATTCTTCTAAAGTTTCAAATCTGTCAAGAATTTGGCAGCTGTCTTGTTACCTTTCTTGTTGGTGGAATGACAAGAAACAGTATAGATATTATAACTACATCAGAGACTACGACTTAAAGTTTCTATGATTTCAAGTCATAACTCTTTTGGTACTTTACGCTGTTAAAAGAGAAAATTCGGGAACCTTCGTAGATCCTCATGGAAGAACTGAAGGGCAAGCCTGGTAAATTCTATCCTCTTCAATGCGACATGTCTGTTCAAAGCGAGATTGAACGCGCGATATTGTGGATCGAGAAAACTGTGGGCGGTGTCGATATTCTGATAAACAACGCCGCCATCAATATCGATTCGTCTTGCATTAACGGTGGAATAGAGGAGTTCAAGAAGACTCTCGACATCAACGTGCTCGGCTTGACGTGCATTACCAAGGAGATTCTGAAATTGATGAAGCGCAAGGGTGAGTTTCGAGCGTTGATCGAAGCAAACATGACAAAAATCAATTTTGTCGGAGAAACAGCTCAATATTCTCATGAAATAATCGATAAATCATTTTAGGGATCGACAACGGCTGCATCGTTAATATCAACGACGTATGCGGCCTGAAGTGTTTGCTGGCCTCCGATCGTCCCATCTCGCCGGCATATACTTGCAGCAAGTACGCGCTGACCGCGTTGACTGAGTGTCTTCGTTTGGAATTGGCGCAGAACGAGTCTAACATCAAAGTGATCGTGAGTATTCCGTGAGAGAAACGTGCAAAACAGATTTCACTCGAATTTTTACGTGAATTTTTTTTCCTTCGTTCTTCTCGCAACAGAACATTTGCCCGGGTTTGGTGGAGACCGACATGACCCTGCAGTGGCTAAAGGAGAACCCACGATTGAGCCTGAAGCCGAAGGAAGTGGCAGATGTGATTATTTACACGCTGTTGACTCCGGAAACTGTACTCATTAAGGACCTCGTCATCACGCCCATCCGAGAAATCATTTAAACGAACGTCGGAGGCTGGAAAGCCCCATCTGTCTACGGAGAATATTGTGTAACTTAAAACAGACTCTTTCTTGTGACTAATCGAATAAAGCATCTGCATTTTTTTTTTCGAACTCATCGTTGTCAATTTCCATTCGACGAATAAACTGGTTTCTACCGTAGCTCGAACAAACAATATTATTTGAAAACTAACTTTTGTATCCTCTTCTATTCGACGGCAACAAAACGGATAAAATGGGCAGCAGAAGTGAAGTTAACGATTAAAATCGAGATAACTATTCACTCAAAAGGAGTTTTGCGCACACAAATGCGCGATAGTAGGACGATATTTCTTGATCTTCATTAAATATCGTATTCTAAGCGCAATTTACATTGAACGATCAGTAGTGAATAAATAAAAATCAATAAAATGAAATAATAAATTTCTCAAAAATACGCCTTAACCGGGGACCGTGGAAGTTGCTCGTTTGCGGATTGAAGGAGGATCGCATAAAATAATGCTATGTTCATATTGACATATTTATTTTCGTCCCACACTTACTAGTTCAATAATTCACAAAACCTGGCACTCTATGTTAAGAAAGGAATTGCAAGAAAGCGATATAACAAGGTAATCCTATTTAATAAAAGTGCGAAGCAATCAGTGTTGTTTAGTGCCTAAAATTACGAAGATACATCCCGCATAACGTAGCGCTGAAATACATACATATATATATATATATATATATATATATATATATATATATATATATATATATATATATATATATACATATATATA